TTATTTTGATCCGAACCACGTTAAATCTTGTGTTCTTTCTTTTACGTTTCCGCTAACAGTATTTAAGAACAAAGATGCCCCTTAAAGCAGGTAATCCCTGCATGACATCCCTGGATTATTATTTACCACATAAGAAACCCCACATCATTATTTACTGCATAACAGTCTTCGCATTATTATTCTGCATAAACATTCCCTGGATGGATAATACGTCAACCAAACAACCCATTAATGTCTTACTTTCTAGTTCGTCATGTCCTTCATATTTCTGAAGAAAAGAAGAATGATATAGGGTGCCTTGTCTTTTGCTTCAGTCGCTTTGTGACCGTCTGGCAGTGTATAGTATATTCTGATGTAGAAACTTAGGCCCATCTCAAAACGAATGTGCGACCCTTTTTACATAGTCATGAATTATGATCTTTTATTTGCTTCTAGCATTTATCGTCGTTGTGCTTACACTGGCATTGTAATATTTTACAGCATGCTGCAGATGAGCGAATTCGTTTGGAAGAACTGCGTGAGAAGGTACAGAATGTCCAAAACTCATTGATGTGTCATTTCAACTTGGAACCTGTAACTTAGATAGGCTAATTATCAGGTTCTATCTGGACAAATGAGGACAACTACATATCTTGATTCTGAACAAGAATTGGTACGCTTACGGTCATCTAATGTGAAATAGAGTTTATCTTTGCCTCGTGCTGCTTGGCATGTGGAGAAATTCTTGATACTATTTATAATAGAAAATGTTGATTCTGAGTCTTTCACCATGCTTTGGCAGGTTATGCCTGAAATTGGTTACCAGTTACTACACAACTATGCTGAACAAATTCAAAACTGGGGTTGGATCTGCAACATTCATTCTCAAGCTTCAAGATCATTTACCAGGTAAGCTATGGCCTATGGATCTTTGTTTAGCTGTTCAATACACAACCACTGTCTATGAACTTGATAAAATTACCAGAACTTCCATTGCACTAAATTTTTCAATGTTTTTAAAGTTGAACCCAACTCTGAGCATGAGGCTTTATGTTTTGCTTAAAGCAGGAACTTAAATCTGATCCACAAGAAGCCAAAAGCAGTCACACTTCTTGCGGTAACATTCTGTAATACTTGGCTCTGTTATATTATACTTTCAAAAAGTTAAGTATATGTGACCCATTTGGGATTCTGTCTTAGAAGGGAAAGTTAAATATATAGTATTGATTGTAGTTGTTGTATTGCAAGATTAGGAAGTCACATCAACAATTTGGGATTGAGATTAGNTATGTATATGTGAGCCATTTGGTATTCTGTCTTAGAAGGGAAAATTAATATGTATAGTATTGATTGTAGTTGTTGTATTGCAAGATTAAGAAGTCACATCAACAATTAGGGATTGGGATTAGGAATCTTTGGGAATAACGTGACAATACGGTGTAAATAAACAAGGGAAGGGAGTGCGCGTCTATGCTTGGAACTTTTAGTTCTCCTTTTTCCACCATCCATTACTTGCAATATTATGTGGATTAGTACCTCCAAACAGCTTCTTGTCTGCAACAACATTGTTGCAAACATTTGTAACTGAAAATGAAGCCAACACCGAACCATTAATGTACTTTGTTGCCATTGTTTCAACTCCAACAATATGGTCAGGTGCTGAAGAACAGAGAGGATGCTGCCAAGTTATTTTCGTTTCAAAATGTAATTAGTTGATATGTTAGAATCTTCTTTTTATAAAGCTAATGCCAAATTATTGAATGAATGTTCTTTCCGCCAGCCACTTCATCGTCAAAACAATCATAGATATGATAAATTGGTATAGAGCTGCAATGGGGTTATTTTTGTCTTTTAACTCACTATTGTTAACAGTGTTAAACCAATTTTAAGGTAAGGGTTGTAAGTGTTTGATTTAGAAATACAGGGTGTGTGTCAGAAACTGAGCGATATTATAGGGGAGTTCAGTGTAATTTATCCAATTTATTAATTGGGTTGGATACAGAGGGTGAATTTTGAAGTATAACTTCCAAGGGAAGAGATTTTTGTTGTTGTAATACCATCAGTTAGAAGACAATGCTAGAGGTTCTCTCTTTTTACTTACCTTAGAGGTTCTCTCTTCCTGAATATTAGGCCTTGAAGATTGAATTGCTTCAACTTGCTTGGCAAACCATTCATGATCTCTTTCATGGTTTTAAGAAATGTATTGGTTAACCAGTTTCTTTTGCACATGCTTCATTAAAAATAATTGATTCTGAGGCGCTGTCGTTTTTGTTGTTGACAATACAGGTTCCGTGTATTTTGGGCGTTAATCTAACTGACGTGGATCTCTTAGAATTTCTTCAACAGGTTAGTCTAATGAAGGTGGGAAGGGTCGGGGGATCGGTTTTTGATAATCAATAAGTAGCATAGGCTTCGATTGACTTACAGCAGACCCTTGTGGATATACATTAACTAATTTTCGTATTTCACTCTCATTTAACTCTATTCTAACATCCTCGTTTGGTATCTTGCTTACGTTCTTCCTTAAATGTCGTGTCATGCTTTCTAAACAATGTGTTTGCAACCCTTAGCTTGCTGATACAGATGGATCATCTATAATACCCCCATCAGTGAACCGGGTCCTGAATAGCAAGGCTTGCAGGAGTAAGTTAATTATCTACTTTATGAATTAAGAGCTGCCTTGATGCTTTCTTTGCCTCCACCGCACCCCCACAGAAAAAAATAAAAGGAATTAGAACCAAACTTAGTTGGTTTAGGATATCTTTCTTTAATATTCCTGATGTCATGGCTTTTTACCAAGTATTCGAATTTGGAATGATAATTATGACATGGATGGAGTGGAACAGATACAGAGGATCAATTTAGCTGACAAACCAATTTTAGGTTGAAGCTTGGTTGATTATTGATTCCTGATGTCACCATTCTATTTATTTAATTTTTCTTAGGTGCAATTATGTTTGGAGATGCACTGTTACCTTCAGAATGTTCTCTCATTGTTGAGGAGTTGAAGCAGACTTCGTTGTGTTTTCAAGTGAGTGGAAAATTGCATTTCAGAAAATATATACCCGGATTTGTGTTGGATCTGCAGTTAATGGGTGTGTTTTAAGAGAGGAATTCCATATTACTAATGACTGCATTATGTTTTCTTTGCTAGTGTGCTCATGGGCGACCAACAACTGTCCCTCTTGTCAACTTGGATGCTCTGCATGAGCAGATTGCCAAGTTAGGTTCGTGTGGTAGGGGTTCATCTGAGGCATGGCATGAATTACATCGGCATGAAATCAGCTTAGAGCATGCAGCAAAGCGACTAAGATCAGCTGTATCCTAGTGTCGCAAAGCGCTCGTGAATATACCTAATCCCATTCTGGTTGTTACCTATCAAGCAAAGCTCGTGATATCCAGTCTGCATCATGGCAATGGAGGATGATCTGAATCTGGAGAATGATGCATCAATACTGATTCGTATATGAACGCATATACTAAAGAATGATAGGTAACTATATGAATGTAAATACTAAATTTGTAACTCTAGCCCCTTGGTGGTAGCAACTCTCTGTCACACACATGCACACACACTTGAACAAAAATAGGAAAAGGGAATGGACTCTACAGTTTCCATGTAGAGCCAGAATAACTCCCATTCATCATGTGTACAGAACGTGCAGAAATGCTATGATAATGAAATAGGTAATTTGATTATTGATCCTTGTAACTTCATTCAGATTGAATTGCTCACATGCTTAAGTTTGTATGTTCCATCGCAACCCTCCCAATCTTGCTAGACAATATTGGAAGATAATGGAACGCCGGTATTACAAATGTCCTGAACATATAAAACTTCAATTGACATTTGTTTTACCGCTCATTCCTAAGTTACACAGGAGCCAGCTACGCTGCCACAACTTGAGTGCTATATCGTTGCATGAATCAGATCTTTTTTAGTTAAACATATTGCCTTTTTTGCAGAACCGTACCTGACAGAAATTATTATTGGCAATACGGATATTATACTCCTATAGATTATTGGTGGACTCCTATCCTGTGATGTTCATGTTAACATCATGATGTATACTCATTGTCTGTGCTTGATCTGAAAGAGATATGGAGCCTCGTTACACGTAATAGAAGGAAAAGGACTGAGAATTGCAAAATAGAAGTGTAGCAGAAAATCTTTAGTACCGGGGAGCAGCTCTAACACAGTAATCAACCAGTTGTATTGGCCTTTTGAAGAGAAGCATATATGAGATGACATAATGGAGAACAACATGCAGTACAGCTTTTAAAAATAATGAACACGCGCCTCAAGATCTATTTGGCCAAATACATTTGACAACCCCTTAAATTTGTCGTCCCTTTTCACTTAAACACTCAATCTTAAGTCTGTTTCATTTGAACACTTTAATCGATCCTTAACTGTATCATTTAGACACAAAAAGCTGACATGGCAAGGCAAGTATTTCTCACATTTTTCAAGCGCGTGAAATGGTCCCAAAAACAAACTCCTCACCCTTTTTCTCATTATTTTTCTTGTCTTTTCTTTTTATTTTCTTTTCGTTTCTTCCCCTCTTACCTCTTCATCAGAAAATTTGGAATAACCAACGAATTTTTCCGGCAACTGGTTTCTTAATTTTTTATTCACTTTCCGGTCTCTCTCACTCATAAATTGTTGGAAATAAACCCCCTACAGAAATAATATTCACGGTAATAAAAGCGGAATAATAATGTAGCACCGAGATACGGTAATTAATAAGAATAAAAGAGTAATAACGACACCAAGATTTTTACATGGGAAACCCTTTTGAATAAGGAAAAAACCCCGGCCCCGAAAGGACCAACTGATATCACTATAGTAAAGAATTTTACACTTTGTAGGTGCGAGTAAAATACTCCAAAAACCTACAACACTCAAAAGAAATAACCTTATTTTGATATTTTCACCTCACAACAATATCGTTCACTCTCTATTTTTCTTACATACTATTTTCTTATACTCTGTCTGTGAAAGCTCACTCTTTCTTTCTAACTCTCAGATATATTTTTCCTCGGATGTTACAACAACAACAACGACCCAGTGAAATCCCACTAGTGGGGTCTGGGGAGGGTGTGTACGCAGACCTTATCCCTACCCCGAAGGAGTAGAGAGGCTGTTTCCGAAAGACCCTCGGCTTAAGAAAACAAAAAGACAAAAGAAGACAATATTAGTAACACCACCGAAATAATATGAAACAAATATGACAAATAGAAACAAAAATCAAGAAAAATGATCCAAAGCAAGGCAAAAGCAAAAGCAAGGCAAAAGCAAAATAGTATCCCTACCAAACTAGTGTCACAAAGATATGGTATAAGACAAGACTCAACTACCTCCTAACCTACAACCCTAATACTCGACCTCCACATGTTCCTATCAAGTGCCATGCCCTCGGAAATCTGAAGCCTCGCCATATCCTGCCTAATCACCTCCCCCCAATACTTCTTAGGCCGCCCTCTACCTCTCCTCGTGCCCTCCACAACCAGACATTCGCACCTCCTTACCGGAGCATCCAGGCTTCTCCTCTGAACATGCCCGAACCATCTGAGCCTTGCTTCCCGCATCTTGTCATCAATGGGAGCCACGTATACCTTCTCCCGAATATCAACATTCCTAATCTTATCCATCCTAGTGTGCCCGCACATCCACCTCAACATCCTCATTTCCGCTACCTCCATCCTCGGGATATGTGATTTCTTAACTGGCCAACACTCAGCCCCATACATCATGGCCGGCCTAACCACCGCTTTATAGAACTTACCTTTGAGTATCAGTGACACTCTCTTGTCACACAATACTCCAGATGCTAATCTCCACTTCATCCATCCTACCCCAATACGGTGTATAACATCCTCGTCGATCTCCCCTCCCCCCTGGATAACCGACCCAAGGTACTTGAAGCTGCCTCTACTCGGGATGACCTGTGATTCCAGCCTCACATCCACGCCCACTTCCCTCTGCTCAGCACTGAACTTACACTCCAGGTATTCCGTCTTTGTCCTGCTAAGCTTGAAACCTTTAGATTCAAGAGCCTGTCTCCAAACCTCCATCCTCTCGTTAACACCGGTTTGCGACTCATCAATCAGAACTATGTCATCGGCGAATAGCATGCACCATGACACATCCCCTTGAATGTGATGTGTCAACGCGTCCATCACCAGGGCGAATAAGAACGAACTGAGTATAGAACCTTGATGTAGCCCCATAATAACTGGAAAATCCTCAGAGTCGCCTCCTACTGTCCTAACCCGAGTCTTCGCCCCATCATACATGTCCTTAATCGCCATAATGTAGGGAACCGACACGCCTTTTGCCTTCAAGCTTCTCCAAAGAACTTCTCTAGGAACCTTATCATATGCTTTTTCTAGGTCAATAAATACCATGTGCATGTCTTTATTCCTATCCCTGTACTGTTCAACCAACCTCCTAACAAGGTGTATAGCTTCTGTATTAGAATGACCCGGCATGAAACCAAACTGGTTGTCGGAAACGGACACCGTCATCCTCAACCTTGCTTCGACCACCCTCTCCCATACTTTCATAGTATGACTCAGTAATTTGATACCCCTATAATTGTTGCAGCTTTGGATATCACCCTTGTTCTTATATAGTGGGACCATCGTACTCCACCTCCACTCTTCCGGCATCCTCTTCGCCTTAAAAATAACATTCAACAACCTATTCAACCACTCCAAACCTGCTTTCCCCCACACTTCCAAAATTCTACCGGAATCTCATCAGGCCCGGTCACTTTGCCCCTACTCATCTTACTCATAGCTCCCACGACCTCCTCAACCTTGATGCGCCTGCAGTACCCAGAGTCACTGTGACTCTCGGAATGCTCCAATTCACCGAGCACAATATCCCGATCCCCTACTTCGTTAAGAAGTTTTTGAAAGTAAGTCTGCCATCTCCTCTTAATTTTGGAATCTTCCATCAATACTCTACCATGTCGTCCTTGATGCATCTCACTCGGTCTAAATCTCGAGCTTTCCTCTCTCTCCGCTTGGCCAGTTGAAATAACTTCTTCTCCCCGCCTTTTCCCCTAGTTCCTCGTACATACGACTATAAGCCACAGTCTTAGCCTCCGTGACCGCCAGCTTCACTTCCTTCCTAGTTACCTTATACCTCTCTATGCACGCTCGCCTCTCCTCCTCGCTTATGCTCCCCACTAATGACTAGTACGCCTCCTTCTTCGCTTCCACTTTACCTTGTACCACTTCATTCCACCACCAGTCACCTTTGTGCCTGCCGGAGATGCCCGTTGAGACCCCTAACACCTCTCTCGCAGCCTCCCTTATACAGTCTGCTATTGTTGACCATATAGTGCTCGCGTCACCACTGCTCCTCCAAGATCCCATCGCCGACAACCGCCCTTCCAACTCTTGGGCTTTATCCTTAGTTAAGGCTCCCCACCTGATTCTCGGTCTTCCTCAAGCAGACATTTTCCTCCTTTTCACCACAATACCAACGTCCATCACCAAGAGCCTATGCCGCATCACGCGTATCTCACCTGGAATCACCTTGCAATCCTTGCACTACTCTCTGTCACGCCTCTTAAGAAGGAGATAGTCAATCTAAGTCTGTGCTACCGCGTTCTGAAAAGTAACCAAATGCTCATCTCTCTTTGAAAAGATAGAGTTTGCAATCACCAACCCAAAAGCCTTAGCAAAGTCCAGTAATGAGGTTCCTCCTCCATTCCTCTCCCCAAAATCGAAGCCTCCATGTACTTCGTCATACCCACCTGCTATTGACCCAATATGACCATTGAAATCTCCTCCTATAAATAACTTCTCAGCAGGTGGTACCTGACGTACAATCTCATCTAACCCCTCGCAAAAGCGTCTTTTAACCTCCTCGTCTAGGCCCTCATGAGGCGCATAGGCGCTAACGACGTTTAGGGTGCACTGACCTACCACTAACTTAATAATCATCAACCGATCATTCACTTGTGTAACCTCAACCACAGACTCTCTAAGTTCCCTATCCACCAAAATACCCACTCCATTCTTACCCTTCTCGGTTCCTGAGTACCAAAGTTTATACCCGTCCGCATCCCTCGCATTCGACCCTGGCCACCTTGTCTCCTAGACACACGCTATATTGATCCTTCTCTTCTGGAGGATCTTCTCCAACTCTATAGACTTACCTGTCAATGTACCTACGTTCTATGACCCAATTCGTAACTGATAAACACCTTTGTTCCCTTTACCTCCCTTGCCTCCCGACCCNACCTCCGACGAACTAAGGGGAGTCACTAACACACACAACAGATCAAACTAGAAGAAGACAAGATGCCACTACAGGCACACTAATGCGGTGAACAAACTGATAAGAACTCACACTACAACAATTCAACTAACACAACTAATACAATAGAGGGAAACATGAAAATGGGAGGTACCAACTCCCGTGAGTAGAACCTGGGAATTGTTTCAGTATACCCGACGGTGTTGCGGCCACCTAGCTCGTTCATGTCCAACTCCTTCCGTCCCTTGCTAACACTTGGGTTGTACTTCACTGTTTGCACGTGCCCGTCTCGCTCGTCGTCCAAAGCCAGCAATACACAGAAAATTCCACGGAACCAAACCAATATGGGGCTATCACCGCTACCACTGATGATGCCCCGTAGAGAGATAGACCCAGAAGCGAATAAATTATCCAGAAGCACAG